GACAAAAAATTCAAGAATAGCCTATATATATTAAATTGCTTTTAATTGTATTATACTTTTGCTATGACTACAGTGGGCTCCAAATACAGTAAATCAATCAGTAAATTCAAATGTTTGAAATTACTTCTTTCTTATAACCTATTTTGATGAAGAGACAAACGAGAAATAATAAGCAAGTAGATAAGTACTATTTAAGTTAATTACTTTCTGAGTAAGCCTGAAAATTAGCATCCTTCATTATCTCTGTTATTAGGTGAACTACATTATCCCATACAATTGTTTGTTTTTTTCAAAGTATATCATTAATACTGTAATAAACTAGACAAATTAGTGTTCTTTGCTAATCTTAAAGAAGCTTACTATGGGGACCCTGGGGTCACTTTGAAACTGAAGAATAATACAATTTTTTAAAAAGGGGAAATATTTAAATTATTTGTGGTAATAGGAGTGAGCCAGGCATGGAACCAGGAGAAGAAAGTAAGCAGAGGTAAAACTTGAGGGGATAGTGCACATGCCTAAAATGGACTGATGGGCTCATGATAAAGAAGGAAAGCGGGCAGAGGAGGTGGGCAAAATCATCAAGGCTTAACCAGCTTTAACTAGGAATTTGGAATTAAGTTAAAAATACTGGGACTCTTTGAAGAGTTTTATCCCAACTGTTACTTTACACGGTTGAATTAACGCTTTCAAGACCCCTCTTTCTAGATGGTGGCAAAAGAAGCCAAAAATAATATGCTTAAAAAAATCAATTTAATTGAATTATCACTGAGAGTCTGCAAAAGACAATAGTGATTAAAAGAAATGATGGGCGTGAGAGAGAATGAGGACAAAACACATACTGAACAACATGCATGTATGTATGTATATGTGTGTGTGTAAAGTGCACACACGTGAAAAATCATTTCTATTACAAGTGAAACTTTATTAGTTTAGTGATTTCTGTTGCAATTTCTAGAACAAGTAATAGAAAGTGTAGTGATTAGCTAAAAAGCCAATATGAAAGATAAAATGGGATGCAAAATAGTGTTGTTAATCAAAGGAAGGATGAAAGGAGGAATAGTGTAAAGTGCACAAACTACAAGAAAGTGAAACTAATATAATGAGTCCTTGACATCAATAGTTACATTATATGTAAATGGAATAAATATTCTAACTAAAACATTTAGATTTATGATGATGAAAGGATAAAAATTCATAGAGAACCACCCCCTCCATCTAAATTAAGACTGACAGACTCATAGGCCTAGGTTCCAGGAACTAGCTGGCCACCCAAAGGAAGAATTAGCCAGGGGGCAAGTCAGCCAGGCCGTTCCAACAAAGAATAGCAGAACTAGTAATACAGGTTGGCCAAGCCACCCTGGGAAGTGACTGACCACGAGGTAAATGAATAGGCTAAGGTCACATTCCTGAAAAGAATGTATACAGCATGTTACTCACTCTTCAATCTGTTCTGTGACTAGTAGAATAATAGAAACTTTCTGTATATAGGATGTTACTCACTCCCCACCCTGGTTTGTGGTTTTCTCCTTTAAATACCCCTTCCTCCCGAGCCTGGGGGTCGACACTCCTCTGTCCTTGTACGGGACATGAGTCTCGACCCAGAGCTGATTATTTGAAATATACCTCTTGTTAATTGCAATAAGAATCGATGTCTCATGGTCTTTGGGTGGATGTAATCTCCCGTGGGTTGAGTGGGGGTCACCCTTCTCTGGGGGGCCTTACAATAACAAATTTAAGAATAGACCTAAGTGTGTGCATAAAGTATGAGAACCAAACCTTAGTGAGAAAACAAGTGCATTAGAAAGGGTATAAAAGCAAATCTACCATGCTTAAAAACTCTTGGATGTAATAATCTGGAAATTGCTTCTAGGATTTCAGTATCTCATACAGGAATAGGTTTGAAATTATCTGTATTATGTGGTTGTTATGAGACGTGATGAAACATGTAAAACCCAACATAAGGGACAATTGAAAATGATCAATAATGCTTTATTATTAAGAATTGCATTGGCCGGGCAGTGGTGGCGCATGTCTTTAATCCCAGCACTTGGGAGGCAGAGGCAGGCGGATTTCTGAGTTTGAGAATTCGAGGCTAGCCTGGTCTACAGAGTGAGTTCCAGGATAGCCAGGGCTACACAGAGAAACCCTATCTCGAAAAACCAAAAAAAAAAAAATTTCATTAATGTATTTTGAAACTTTGATATGATTAAACGCATGGATGATTGAGACTTTTTCTTGACAGACTGTTTCTTTGTCACAAAACAAACTTTCCAGTTTTCAATAATTCTTTAGATTTAAAGTAGCCATACAAGATGTGTTATGTTTAGTGTTAATGAAAGAAAATGTTGTCTAGACTTGTATTTCAAATGAATTTTCCTCCAGATTTTGAAAAATACTAAAGAACTTTTTCCTTGATAAGGATTTTTTTTTCTTCCATGGACTCTCTTGATTTGTAAAAGAGCATATTTCTTTGTAGAAGTGTGAATGGAAATATCTCAATGTATTAGTCTATTTTGTTTCCATCAGCACATGACACTACATCAAATGTTACTTCCTCCATTCTATCACAGTGGACAAAGTGTAGCCTTTCTGGCTTCTATTAGCACAGCAGAAGAGTTCTTTCTGAACTGAAAGGTGCTGAAAGGTTCCGTCATTGCTCTGATTTGATTCCTGAGAATTCCTCAGTTACTAACTCATAATGACTCCCTAATTCGGGTCTTGCATTCTTGACCTATTGCAGAGCTATAGTCACAGTTCTATTTCAAGTCACCCACCACAGCATTTTAACACTTCGAGTCTTCCCTTATTGAGGTTTGAAAGGGTATCATCAAAGGCTTTACATTCCTATGCACCTCTGATGGTCAGGAATGAGTCACCACTTTACAGTTGCAAGGAGGGTATCATGAGTCAGCAAAGTTAGGTACACTCCCAAAGACTCTAATTCTCTAAGCAGTTTAGATAGAATGTAAGTCAAGGCATTCTGACGTAAGACTTCATTTTGGTTTCTATTATAAACTTAATGGGAATGATGCCATTAAATATAAATCATTGGTCTTGATGTGTTGAACTGTTCTTCTAAACAAAACTTGCTATCAAAACAAACTAGATAAATATAATTTACATTATATGACAGTCAACACTAAAATGAAGAAATAAAGCTAAAGAAATATTAAAATGCACCGTAAGGTTCTAAAACCACTTTAAAATTAAAGATTACATTGATTTTTAACCTTTCAGATGTTGAAATAAAGATCAAGTTTTATTTTTATTTGCCAAATGGCACATTAAAAATTACCTAGATAATGTTTACAGTATAAGATATAAAGTATGGAGACATAACTTATAGTGATCTGAATAAAGTATGTGATGATTCACCGAAAATTAACTCTTAAATGTCAATAATCATTGTCAATAATATTTCAGTATACTCTGATATCTTGAGTCACTAGTCATGGCAACTGTGTCTGGCACCAGATATAGAAAGGTGAGCCACGAGAGACACAACTGCTCTCTGACATAGCTCAAGAAGAATGGTTGGAACACAAGGAAGTTACATGTGCCCCCTTGAGCATCTTGAATGCACAATCATTTAAATAGAATCCTTCATTCTAGTTGACACACAACATAGGCAAGACACATGAAAATGCAGTTTAGCATAGGTGTTTTAGAAAGACTATTATGTGCCTCAATGTTATTATCCTTTTCAAATATCAAGACCATTAAGTAAATTAAAAACTTTTCTCATAACAAGAAATTCAGAGACTTTTCAGAAAATAAAATTTAGCTTTTTTTCTGTATCTTCTTTGCAGGTTAACATGAAATATGAATATTTTCTTAGTTCTTTATACTTGTCTGAAAATAAAAATGTAAAAACCTGTAATAAATATATTTCTAAAGTGAATGGATATTTGAGTGGAAAATGTTCTGGAGAGATTTATCTCCTAGGAAAAAGTGTGTTCAAAGGTAGGTAAATTGGAACATATATTTTTATTTTAAAAAAGGCTCAGAATCACTGAGAGGAAAATCCAAATCCAATGTGTTCTGAAATCCAATTATAATGATCAAAAGTTTCAGATTTTTGATCTCTAGAATTTAGACAATTTCACATTTCAATTTTCAGATTAGAAATTTTCAAACATTGAACTGTATATAAGCTCTGTATAAACATTCTCAAATCTGAAATACTTAAAAATCTAAACTATTTTTGGACCTGGGCATTCTGGAAAAGTTATCCTCAGCCTTTGCTTGTGAACAGTAGGGAAAGCTCACCTCTCTTCTCAGAAGGATTACAGGACAGCTATGAGCAACTTCTACATAAATACTCAGAATCAGAATTTCGGGCTCGTTTTCCAGAAGAGTAACTATAAGCACTATCGGTTTTCATTCATTAACAGATGCAATTGCAGGTACTATCACTGCAGAAGGCATCACTGCAGGTACCATCATTTCAGATACTATCACTATAGCAACCATTTTTGCAGGTACCATCACTGCAGGAGTCATTGCTGCAGGAACCATCACTGCATGTAACATCATTGTAGGTACCATCATTTTGGTACCAATGCTGTGGGTACCATACTTGCATGTACCATCACTGCAGGAGTCATTGCTGCAGGCACCATCACTACAGGTCCCTTTGCAGGCACTATAGCTCTGAGGAAGAGTACAGTGTGAGAGATTTCATACAGTCACTGCACTACAAGCAGTGTCTATTTTCAGTTGGAAATGCTGCACTTCTTTAAAAGACATAGAGCATGAAGGTATTAAAAGCACATTTATAAATTACAGATTACAGGGACAAGTAGGTTTGGGGCAAGCTTTTCATTCCATTGATTATATGCCAGTCAATTTACCTCAACTATCAATAAATTACCTTCCTCAACAAAACCAATACATTGAACTTTGACATCACTTTGTCATGTAATTTTTGACAATATAAACTATAGACTATAAACAATTTCAAGGTACAATCTATAAAAACAAAACTAAGAATCACTTACTTGATATTATCAAGACAGCCTGATTCAGGTTTCAGTATAGCAGTATGGTGAAACATTTTGTATAAAGCAATCCCAAGGAAGATTACATTCAGCTGAAATATAAAAGGTAGTGTTTTGTAGATAACCAGAGTAGAATTAAAGCAAAGTCATTCCCTGTAACACATGAATTGTTCTGGGAAATTAGTTCTCAGTAGACTCTTAGAGGAACTGGATCACTGGTGACTGTCTGATGCTTTAGCAAAGGCAAGAAGGCAGCTTTGGGAATTGTGATACCATAGAGTTACAAAACTTGACTGTGCCAAATCCACATTAAATACAAAATCAGTGATAATTTAGAAGGATGCTGTTGAAATTTTCGAATAACTCAAAATCCCACTGCATGTTTAAGAAAACCGAATCCCCCAATACGGGGACTATTCTAAAAGAACTAAAGTCTACATTGACATTCAATGAACATGTCTAGATTGATTAATTATAGACATATTCCATCTCATTTTTTAAGAGATGCACTTTTACAGATGCTATTTTATATTTTTTTTGGAACAGTCTGAGTATGTAGCCCAGCTGACCTATAACTCATTATGTAGAGAAGGCTAGCCTTGCACTTCTGGACATCCTCTAACCTCTGATGACCTAGTTTTGGGATTACAGACACACACTGCCACACCAGGCTACAAATACAAATTCTAACCTCAGTGTATTCTGAATGCATATGTAAAATGCACTAGAAAATGCTGGTTGAATTCTGATGCTACAATAAACTAAGTTGTAAGCAGATGGTCTCTTGTGATATTTTTATGCCACAAAACAGAAAAAAATGTCTATAAATTAAAAGAATATAGTCTAAGAGACATTACCTATATGCTTTACATGAATATTAAAAAGAAATGGTTCTCAGCCTTACTAACACTGCGACCCTATATAAGGTTTTCATATTGTGTGAAATATCAACCATAAATATATTTTTGTTGCTATCTCATTACTGTAATTTAGTTGCTGTTATGGATGGTAATGTAAATAACTTTGGAGATAAAGGTTTACCAAAGGGATTGTGACCCACATGTTGAGAACCACTGCTATAAAGCAAACCAGAGGCTGAATGGCACTTCAACCAGGTGATTGATTAGCTTCTGCAGTCTACAACTGGGGACTGACGCCGACCAGGAAAATTCAATAAAGTGTTCCACTGATATTCTCTCTATAAGGCAGTTTCACATTTCTTAATCAATGTTCTTCGAGTCTCAAACGTGAAACTCAAAAGGTGAAGAAGCTAAACAACACAACCACCACTGAGTGGCTAGAAATGCTTAATGTGAACTGGATGCCATTAGTGGGACAGCCTGGTCCATATTGACATAAGCCAGTCCAGGTTCACTATTCTCATTTTCTTTTCTTTCCTTTTTTTTCTTTTTCTTCCTATAATTATATTTGGTTATAAAACGACTCCTAGTCTTTCACATATCTGAGGAATGGTCAATGACACTGATTTTAGACCCCAGGCTTTTCCCATGATATGTGTGTATACACACATGCATGTACATATTTACGTATGTACACACACAGTAGTGTATTGCCATATTGTTACTTTCAGATCTGAAATATAAGTCTTGATAGCTTACATGAATAAATAAATAAATAAATAAATAAATAAATAATATTGTAAGTAATAGCTAGGTGTTCACTTATATGTCTAATTCCTGTTTATTTTCGATTCTAATTATTTCAGAAAAAGAAGGAAAATATGCTGTTGTCAAAGTTAAAAGTCATCACTGCTCAGTTGTTTAGACAGCTATGTGGTCTACACTGGATTGTGTAGCCATTTACTTTTGCAAATGCTTACTTTCCTTTACCAACAGTTTTGATGAACTACTTTACACTATAAAAGTAGACTGTAATGAGTGTCTAATTGCTTGAGTTATGTAGGGTCATATAAGTACAAGCTTTCCCCCAAATTAACCTATGTAAATTTAAGATAGCTAGTACATGGCTACTGGAAGTTCTTATTTCTTGACCTGGGAAGTGCATAGTTAATTAGGAGTTCTCACCATAATTATCAAGGTCGCCGGTCCTATAAAACTCCAAATGAAGTAGGTGTCAAGACGAAGCCAACATCTGCAGTGAAACACAAGGGAGAGAAGCCATTCAAAGACTGGGTCCAGTACATATATCAAGAGTGAGCAGGTGACAGAGAAGAATGTGAACAGCACAGTATTCCACTGGGAGACAGGAAATATTACATTGCTTGTTCATTTAAATGCTGAATTATGTGCCCGATTTCTGACAGCACTGTTGATGGAGTAAGATAATTACCCCTGGAGAAAGCAGGGAAAAAATGGCATCAGGCCTATTTGCTAAGGTCTTTTGTGTCTGTCATTGAAACCTTAGAGGGGGAAAAAGAAAAAGCCATACACATAGCCATTAAAGCCAGTAGCTTTAAGCTATCCTTTTCTCTCCAATTACAGTGCTACATAACCTGTCTATCAGCTGCCAGGCAAAGTGACATTTTCCTGTCAGGAAGATCTGAGGAAATTCAGTACAAGGAAGAAATAAATTTGGTATCAGAAGATTGAAGTTTAATTAGGTTGGGCAGCCAACCTTTGAGGATTCTGAAGCCTTAAAAAGAGCATGCTACTGCTCATGCTTCTGGAGTTGCAAGTGGTCCTTAGCATCTGAAGAAGTTGATTCATGACCTAAAAAGTAAATTATTAATCACTTAATTTCAGGCACATTTAGTACTCCCCCAGTTCTTAAAGCCTCTGGGAAATTACATTTCCATTCTTCACAGTGACAGGAAGACAAAGTGAAAGTGACTTGTTATGAGAAAGATTAATGCAAATAGTGAACAAATTATTTGATGTTAAGAATAATATCTTGAATAATTTTCCACATTGCAATATTGGAGGCATAATTAAAACCAGAGCATTTCCACTGGTAAATACTCAATAGCATTCTCTTATGTGCTCTAAGCTTTTATACAAGGCATTTGAACATGCTGCTTATTATTATAATGTTAAGAGTGACAGAACACCAGAAAGTTATCATGGAAGGATTTCATACATCATTTCAGTATTGAATTGATAAATAAAATATTGTCTTTCATCTGATAAAACAGTATGAAAGTTGAAAATTAGAGTAAGTCTATGTTTGCTAATGGGATACATTTATATACTGAGGGCTGAGGATAGCTCAATGACCTATGAGGCTCTGATTTCAGTTGCCAGCAAGAGGAGGAGGAAGGAGGTAAGAAAGTAGGAGTGGTTGTTGAGTCAAAAGGCCATATAAAACATCACCTATGTGTTAAATGCATATGTGTATTTAATAATAAAATAATTTTATATGATGTGCACACTTAATTTTTATATATATATATATATATATATATATATATATATATATATATATAATACATCCATTAAATATATGTATTTGCTTCAGTGGAAAGAAAAAAACTTACAAATTCATGTTATTTGGAATTATCCCATAGAGTGGAGTTGAGAACATCAGAGTATACAATCCTAAGGCTTTAACTGTATGTTTTATCTAACAATTATGGAAGGTATGCCAAAATACTTAAAATTTTCACTTGAGTTGTAGAGGCAGTGATTATCATTTGATAACTTTTAAAATTTTTTAAAATGATTGATAGCTAGATTCTTAAGAAAAAAAAAAGTCACCAAAACCAATCTCTAATCACTATAAGGCTATCTTCTTTCACCTTAAATCCATATAAACTGATTTCAGTAGCAGTGAGGTAGACACACCATTCAGAGAGGGAATATGAGTGCATAATTTCTACTTAGACTAGATGGTTTATTATTGTTCAAATATATATAAGAATTTTGTTTGGAAAAAAAGTATTATTACGGAAGCAATTAAAGCTTTAATTACTAGCCATGTATGTTTGAACAGTTAGTTATCTGTTTGCTATGGTACTTAAATATCTGGCATAGAAGAAGGGTGTTGTCTATGAAGAGGCATAAGCATGAGAGATCCCTTTTCACATAGTATCACTGTCTTCCTTCTCACTGAGTGTGAGCTTGTCACACTTTGAAGGAACTCTGTGTGTGAATGGTTTGAATAAGTATGAGAATTTCCATCAGTATCTATAGGTTTTTTATAGACTAGATTTCTTTTCTCCAGGCCAAAGCAATAAAGAACAAAGCAAGTACATTTTTCCAGTTAATTAGATATTAGCCCTACGTTGTTCAAGTTATAGCAACGCAATACAACGTTAATAATGCATTCTAGGATAATTACTAATAGGATAATCCATATAGCTCAAAACATTTTGGAGAGGTCATCTAAGACCTAAAGCAAATAATTTGTACTACAGAAAAAATATGCTTTAAGTTCTTCCAGAAAAATATTCTTTTACAGGTAATAGATAATTTTAATCATATTAGCAGCAATTTTGGTAAATTTAGGTTGGTATAAAACTTTAATATTGTCATATATTTTGTTTAAATAACAGAATGATATTAACTTTATCCTTACCAAGCTTGATTTCTAAAATATATCAGCAAATGCTTTATTTTAAAATGTGAATTTGGCTAACAATCTCTTCTAGATGTGGAAGGAAGTGACACGTTATTTTTAGCCTTTAAAAACATTCTTCAGTATCTATTTATTTAAAATGATTTAAATTCCCTTCGTAAGTGAAGAGGGGAAGAGGCAGTCTGAAACTCAACATGCACTGAGTAAATCATCCCCCCATGCATGCTGTCTGCACTTTACTATCCTCTGGAATCTGTGTGGAAAGAATGCCTTTTCTAATTTGATTGCCATATGGCCATACCTGCTGTTGTTTTTGGCTGCATGCTGGCTTTTGCAAAGCTCTCTGCATTTCATCTCTTTCCCATTACCCACCTTCAAAATTTGCATGGTGCCTGCCCCATCCACTGTGCCAAGAATTATCCATGACCATAATGTGAAGAATGGTATTATACACTCATGTTTGACCCTACGTATCTGTCCTACCCTACAACATTCTGAACTCTGGCTCCTCTATACTAATTGAATAAAACCCCAAACCACTGGCTAAAAGGAGGCTAGATCAGATTTGTAAGACAAATGCTAAAGGAAAATTATCATATGAAACACCAAAAGGCAGATTACAAATGGTTAAATCTACTTCTAAATACAATGGTTTATCTGAAAACCACAGTGGTTTACTAAGTAATATTTAACTAACAAAATTGAAAAGTTTGATAGACCATTTGTATTTAATTTTCAAGACAACTCAATTTTGTATTTTTAAAGGATATTCAATCTCTTGTGTATAATTTCTGAATTGTGCTTTTAGAAGTACTAAAAAAAAATACATGACCTATGGGATTAAAAAATACTCATCCTGGCCATCCTCCATCTTACTTCTTCAATACAAAATACATTCTAGAATACAAAGGAAGAATTTTCATTTGCCACACCTGCCTTGATTTTTGTTTCATTAATGAAAGACAAATGTGGCATTAAAATCATCTTATTGTAGTAGTTTTCAAAGGGTAATAAAATACTGCTATTTACATGATGCCTTATTTCATTGATATAATTTTATTGGTTTCAACACTCCAAAGTGTTGAATCAATGCTAAGCCACAAATATAAACTATTTTCCTCTAGAATGGTTCTCCAAAATGTAGGACACACTCTTAAAATTAATAGTAAAGGAGTTGCTAACATGTTCCCTTTGAATCAATGACCTATGCAACAAGAAGTACTTTCATGTAAACTCAGAAAGAAATGAACAAATTATTTTCTTATAATGGGAAAATTAATTTCTTAAAGTAACGCCACAGAGAAAATATTCTGCTAAAATGTATCCTCATTTTATACTAAACTACAGCTTATCATTTAATTCTTACAATTCATACTGAAAAGGTGTGGTTCTGTATTTAGGAAACCACCAAGGTCAGCAGCCCAGAGACGCAACCATCACCCATAGCATGGTTCATGATACTGAGCCTCAGTCAAACCAGCCAGTACAGTTTCTCATCCAGAATTTGATACAGAGTAGATAAAAAATTATAGACTAAGGAGTCTATAGGAAATATTAATGTAACTAGAAACTATTTTTGGTATCATCAGATATTGGAATTGATGATATCTTTATATCAAATTGTTTATGAGTTTGTAATCATCTTTTAAATCATGCACATATGTCTATATTTATACCCATTTTGTTATATATTGTGCATATAACACTATGTTTGTACTGATCATTATTTATTATCTAACTGCCCATTTTTCTATCATATCTCTGTCTGTCTTTGTAATGTCAAACAATTAAGAAAAAAAATAAAAGAAACTTGGAAAGAAACAAAGAAGAGAGGAGGCAGATAAACTGCAAGCAATAAAGAATATAGTCCTAAACTTATTGAAAAATACAGATGTCAATGGCTTTTAAAAGGTAATTGCCCTGGAATCATGATACAATTCACAGACGCTGAGGCTAAAATACCAAGGAGGGCTCAAGGGAAGACACATGGATCTCCCTGGAAAGGAGGAATATAATGGATTTTGCAAGTGGACTGGGGAAGGAGGTGTGGAAATAGGAGGGTTCAGATGTGGGTAGGGTAGAGGAAGAGAGTTCTGGGAAAGAAGACTGGAAGTGATATTCCTTCTTCCATAGTTCAACATAGTAATAGGAGAATTATAATCACTAGTTTAATAAATGGACAGTTTCTAACTGTTTAGCTTATATTTTAAAAGTTGTTTATCATAAACTTTATATTTATTCAGTTCTACCAGCCAAATATAGAGTCATTAATAAAAGATAGAATTTAGTAAGTGCATATTTATTTTGAAATTTATGTAATATATGATTCCATATATATCTGCATATATGCATACATAATCACATATAAATGCACAGGTTTATGTGTCACAGTAGACTTGTGAGTGTCTATATTCACCCTTACTTCACAGGTTAGAAGTAATGAGATTAGTAGTGATGTCTGGATTTAATTCTAGTCTGCCTGACTTCATGGCCTCTACAACAGGAAAAGATACATACTAAATAAAATAAAAGTTGTAAATTACTTGATAAACATGCATTCTCAATGAATAGATACAAAATCAACATGCTATGTATAATGCATACATATTGAAACTTGT